AGTGGCTAAAGCAATTAATTAAAATGCAAAATAAATTGTAAAACATTGTGTTTACTTGTAAGAGAAAATATATGAACTGAATTAAATGACACCGCACATGTAAAAATAAAATAAAGATATTCCAAATTTAAATGCAGTGCATCAAAGACAATTATATGTGGACAGCACCATGACCTTCCAACACATGGTAGGCCCCCTGTTCTAATAAGCTTTTGTTAGCTATATATAAGTTTTGGTATGTATACTTTTCCACTTCAATAAATTAACTTTGAAGGATTAATTAGTGAAAGAAAACCACAATTTCAATATTTATTTAATAATTTTAAAACTAAATGGAATTACACTAATAAATATTGTTAATCTTAAGCTAGCTAGCGAGCATTGCTTTATCATGATATAGCTGCAACAAATAAACTATTTTGTTTTATTTGCATTGTTAATATACAAGTCGTCGGAAATATCTGCGAACCTGGCTTAATGACGTCATACAAACTGGAGAGATAGCAAAAAAATTGAAGATGTAAAAATAAAAAATATTTTATTTGTGTACTTATTTTTATTGATACTCGTACCTACTTGAAATTTACAAATACTTATTATTTACATTATTTAAAATTCAAATTATTTACAAATTTACAAATAATACAAAGAAAAAGTAGAGAGGAAGAGAAAGTGGCGAAACTATTCTAGAAAAGCCTCGACACCAGACATGGTAGCGCTGTCGTTTTCGTCATCTTCTATATTATCACTCAAAATGTTGTCTTCGGTTTCGCTGTCACTGTCTTCTCCTCCTAATGAAATTATTAATTCGCGTTCTTCATGTTCATATAATCTGTCATTATGCCAAAACTTATCTCTTAAGCGATCAACATGGTTGCATTCTTTTTTCCAATCTTCCGGGGTTATACTTTGGATCGCTGCCTTTGTTAACCTTTCTATATCTTTTTCTGATTGGTCAATATTTTTGTCTGCCACCCTTTGTTTCATCAAATTCCAAACATACTCAATAGGGTTGAGATCACAGTGGTAGGGTGGCAGACGTAATAACTCATGTCCATGAGCTCTAAATATTTCATCGATGAAATATACCTTCTCAGGTTTATTTCTTTGAATCAACATATACAGTTCTCTTTTAGTCATTTTGTCATCAAATTCGATGTTGTGTTCTTGCAGCCATGTTTGCATTTCGTTTTTACGTGCACTGAAATTTGGCGGCTTATTTGCCTGCTTACTGTGATAGGGCGCGTTGTCCATGACAATTATTCCGTTGGGTGGAAGGTTCGGTATCAATTTCTCTTTAATCCATTTGGTAAAATTGGACGCATCCATTTCGTCATGGTAATCACCGGTTGTTGATTTACACTTATATAGGAGCTCGGCTTCTTGTATGAAACCGTTCTCATTACCTGCGTGTACCACAATCCAGCGCTGACCAGGAGAGTGATTTATTCGGACACTGGAATCACTACTATTTTGCCAACATTTTGAGACAGTATAGTGTGAATGTATCCAGGTTTCGTCGATAAATGTAACTGGATTTTTTTCGGCACCACGTTCGTCATTTTCTTTCAGTCACCTTAAATATTTTGCTCTCCAGGCTGCTATTTCAGGTCTTTGCACCAAAAAATCGCGTTTTCGTTTACATTTTTTAAAGCTGTACCCCAAATCATTTATTAGTATGTTTCTTAGGGCGTCTTTTTGGCCGGGAAAGTTGAGCTCCCGTTTTGCTATTGTAAGAATCTTTTTTAAAGTAGGTATTTCTTTTCTTGTGGTATAAAAACTTTCAACCAAAGAGCGTATCGCGCATAAATCAAAATTATCTAGATCTATTTTCTTTTTGTATTTTTTTACGCTTTTTCCCTGGTGTCGAGAGCTTGATAGTGTCCGTGGCAACTGAAGCTGAAGTACTAGGTTGTGGATGCTCACCATCTTCGAAGGACGTCATGTCTTCCTGAACATTCGCTGCTCGCGCTGTTTCTGTTTGTATTTTTTTTGCTTCACGTTTTATTGTCATTATTGTCGTTTTAGATAAACCAGTTGCAGCACAAGCCCTTTTGTTGCTTGTTCAACCGGCACAGTGAAAGAGCCGTGTTTTTTTTCATTTTCAAAGAATTGGATTACTTTGAGCACTAAATTCCGCTCTGCACTATGTATAGTCCTACCCATCTTACATACAGCACTAAATAGGTAGTTTATGTAATATTTCACCAAACAGAGAAACAATAAACACTAAAATGCGATTACGAAAGCAAGAATAATACACGTGCGTCGGCGATTGCGTTGGCAACGGTACTGGATAGGCGAAAACGGGGCGGGGTGCGGGGAAGCGCCAGGGGAAGCGCATTCCAGCGAGGTTCGCAGATATTTCCGACGGCTTGTATGTGGCAAATGGCAATGATGAATGATGGCAGTGGGCAATTAGTAAGCACACAGACTACTTTGTTTTACTTAATTTATTACAAAAATATCAATTGGTACATTGTAGCTAACTTTTACCTAAACACTTGTTTTTCAACAATTGCAATAGTAATAATTAGTAATTCCTCTCCACAATTATTTTGATCAGAAACAGGACTGTAGTAATTTAAAAAAAAAAAACAATAATACAGAGATATTGCTAGGTAAAACATTGAAAGTTATATGATATATTAATGTATCCTAAAAATTTAAATGGCTAAGCTTACAAAATCCTCGTCACATGATAGTTAGAAAATACAATGCACTACAAAAAACTGGCTGAATGAGTATCAGTCAGATAGGCAATAAGATCACCAGCCAAGAGACCTCTGCGAAAGCCATAATGACGATCATTAATCAGCTGGTTCTCCTACAGATTGCGATATGAGCTGCCTGATGATGACACACTCCATTAGAACATAAAGAAGTGTTTGGGATAGGTCTATAGCTGGATGAGTCAGAGCGGTAGCCTATTTTGGGAACGTAGTGAACTTGGGCAGCCTTCCATGAGCTTGGAACTACGCCTGAGGAGTACGATAGTTAAAAGAGCCATGTGCTTACGCCGAGAGTAGGCCGTCGGGCCTTGTGAGTATCAAGGGAGAATAAGGCCTTCCACACTATTTTGTTCGAACTCGAACGAATCAACCACTTCTGGCATTGTAAATCCGCAATGCGAAATACTAGGCAGTAAATTCCCTTAGTCATCGAGCGTGGAGTTAGAAGCACAGAGAGAGCAAAGGAGCTCTGCTTTCTTTTTACCGAGTGAGCCATCGAGTTGTTCTCCTTTCGCAAGGATGGTAGAGAGGGCTGGAAAAATTTTCCCGAGTTGCTTTCGGTAATGACCAAAAGGTGCGGTTTCCAAACGTTCGGCTTGTCACTAATGCAGGAGAAAACGCAAATCTACTTGCAGATGTCGCTTTCATCGCTTGACCCATAACAATACGCTGTCAGTTTTCAGCATTTCTTACGTAAATCTTAGATACGATTTAGTAAATCTTAAAAGGTGTTTACAAGTGAAAACAGCTGAATAATATATTCGACATGGACTGTTCCATAATTAAAAGTAGAATTGAAGACCCGGGGCGGTTCTTTAAAAGAAAGAAAGGCAGATCTTGTCACGAAGTAATCACATTGGATATTATTCAAAATTCATTTAAAAAATTTTATGGATGAAGAATTTTATCAATCAAAGTTAAAAGTATTGAACAAATTTTATGTGGAATATTTTAAAAAGGCACTACTTAATAAATATATTTATAAGAATTACTGAGAAACAATAAAACCCACTAATTACTTTGGACTTTTATTTGGTATCGTCAGCCATTATTGCATCTTTTTCATCACTAACAGCTAACAGGGAACTTCTTTCAGTTATTATATGGTCACTGGTAGAGCCTGCATATCCATCTGATCAAAACGATGCAAGTTCATCTTGCATCGTTTTGATCAAATTCAAGAACAAATTCCACCAGATGTAGCGCCCGTCAATAATTTTATAGTGTTGTGGTGTTTGTAGCTACTAAATGTTGTTTGTTGCGCTGTAGGGTTTTTTGACTTTGATATGGGTATTTCTGTACCATCTATTATCACTCTGGTAGCTGGATGATATTGCTTAAATAAATCTGGTACATATATAATAATCAACCAGTGAGCCACAAGGCCAAATCTTTCCATAATTCATAAACAAAATTTACCCATGTAACAAATATATTTCCAACAGCAGCAGTACTAATGCCAAAAAATATTGCCATTTCAAAATCAGGTTTATTTCTTCTTAATTTAACTAAAATCTAAAGAAATTAATCCATTCCACTGATGTTAATGACTTGGCTGGTAGTGGGTTCTTCCATGCGAAAACAGTTGGGATTGCAGTCTTTTTCAAATATCTATGAACTTGAGGTTAACCTAAAATGAATGCTTAATAATAATTAGTACTTATTACATACCTTAGTTTATGCAAACCTGTAGAGCTTACACCTTTATAATCGGATTCAATTAAATGTTCCGCTTCCGAACTTTATAGCTTTGAAATTACGTCTTTTTAGAGCTTTCTCAGTCTATCTTCCCATCTTATACGTAAATCCTTAGAAAAAATGTGATTGCCATTGTTATTACAACCGATTGCTGCGCAGCGAGGTATTTGTGGAGAAAATAAATGTTTTATCTTGTGTTAAAATAATAAAGTATGGGATTTGACGTTTGTTTGCATTTGTTATGGCCTATGGGTCAAGCGATACCAGCGCTACTAGTGGCAAAGTTTGACAGTTTTGTGGAGTTATTTATAACGAACTTGCTTAGTTTATTTTTCTACATAAAAAATATTTAATTAATTTCTATAAAAAATTAGGAATTAATAATTTTCGGAGGTAAATTATAATTTTTACAGATAAGGATACATTTAATGTCTATGGTGTCTACGTCTATCAATTAATATCAATCAGTATAACTTAAGTTAAGGTACAATTTGAACATAAAATAACCAAATCATTACCAAATATTTATAAAATTACAAATGTTAATAAAAATTTTAAATATTTATAAAATTAAAATTCAGTTTGTACTTGTTTTGGACAAATCGCTACAAATCTAACAGGTGCTCCACTTCCTTGGGCAATTTTCATTGGCATTACGAGGGCGGTGCAACCATATTCTGAAAGTATAACAAAATACACATATATATTTATAGAAGATTGGTAAACATACAATATTGATCACTGAGTCCAACGTTTATATAGTCCAATGCTACTGTTACCTGGTATAGTTCTTGATAAATTAACATTTTCTATATTGTACAACCCTGCTTTCGACCCTAATTTGTGTACAGGAAGATCTTTTGATGCTCCAGGATCTACAGAAGAAGTATCAACGCCAACTCCAACTACATTTTTGTATGAAGTTGTTATCCAATCCATAACTTCACTACTCAGGCCTGGTAAAATAATAAATAAGTATAAATTATACTCTTCTTTTACTCAGGTTTAACTTATTGGCTTCTTAATAGCAATGGCCCTATGTGGCTACGTAAAGCTAGAAACAGAGAAGAGTGGAAGCCCTTAGAGGAGGCCTATGTCCGAGGACAAGCTGTAGACCAGAAACCAACCAACCGGCTTGCCGATTAATTTTTAGTGTTAATTTTTAATATTTCACATTTGTATGTACTAGTAGGTATAAGTAATTACAGCAATAAAGGCTTTTATTATTATTATTATTATTATTAATAGCAACGAAATGATATACCGTGTATGGCTTATATTAGCGAAATCAATTGCTTTCCCTGAACATCACAAATCTAATGACGCAAGTAGCGATCCAATTTTCAGAAATATTTCTACGCTTTTTCAATTAGTAACCAAACTCACCAGGGAAATTTAATGTATTGTTAGGCCCCAGTCCAAGATACTTTTGTTTGTCATTTACAAACTTACTCCATCCAAATTTGAACACAATTAAACATGGTTTACCAAAATTGTCATTAATCATAAAATCTAAATGATGTTTATAAAGAACAAAATTTGGATCATCGTTAACCAGGGAACTCACGTCAGCAATTATAACTGAAAAAAATTGTTAAAAATAAATTCCTGATATGTTATTTTACCAATAAATACGTATTAAATGTCTTACGCGGAACAATTAAGTCTATAAGAGGAATGTTTCCCACAAAATTTCCTTGTTCGTAGAAATGATATGGTGCATCCAAGTGAGTCCCTCCATGTTCGGAAGCAACAAATTCTTTAGAAGAGTACCAGCTTAAAAATGAGAATGGTTTTAGGTATTCCACTTCGTGTCGTATGTTAAAACTAATGTTTGTTTTGTATTCCCAATAGGACAGAGAACAGACTAGTTATCGAGAAGACTAGAAGAAACGGCAACTGTTATGACTCTACTAACTAGAAATAAATAATATTTTTCCAGGAATAAATACCAGAATCTTAGGGGTACAGAAATTATAACTAGTCTGGCCATAAATACTGTTAAATAAAATGAAAACTTCAGCCAAAGTGTATCAAGATACAGTCTTGGGTCATGTTGTGAAACCTCTCAGCAATACACTTTTTAAAAATATATCGTGGACTTTCCAGCATCTTCTGCACCTGGTCACAAGGCACGAACTACCCAAGCCTGGCTTGAAACTAACGTTCCGGACTTTATAAGATCTGAAGATTGGCCCTCATCTAGCCCAGACCTCAACCCTTTACACTTCAAATTATGGTTAGTTTTAGGCGACACGGCGACATTGAGTCACTTAAAAAATCGCTGGAGCAAGCTGTGGCGAAATTTCCCTTTAAATCAGTTCGTTAATGCATAGATTCGTGGCCAAACAGATTAAAGGCCTGTATAAAAGCTAAAGATGGTCATTTCGAATAGAATATTTTTTATTTTTACTGAGACTAATAAATATGTAGGTATACATTTAAAAAATATTAGGTACATTACTTCATTTAAAAAAATGCATTTTCATTTGTAACAGAACTTATGGCTGGACTAGGTACATTTAGTACTTATTTACAAAGCAACACTATCGTTGGTGTGTATGTATATGGAATAATAAAATATTCATAAGAATAACATCGTAAAAGTTCTACTACAGGCACATAGTTAAGTTTAATGACCGATAAGTGTCATAATAATAATAAGATTAAAAAACTTACTTAACGCCTTCGTTTATAATCTGCTTGGTAAATTGAAACTTTTGTGCTTGAGGCCAATATATCGTATTTGCATCGAAAGGATAGCTAAGATCTATAAATTCATAGTCACCATTAAATAACACTGCATTTAAAGAATTTATATGTGCGGTGACGTTGATATAAAATAGTGCAAATACACAGAAATATAACACGTACATTTTAACCGAACCGAACGATAGGTTTAATTAAGACTACTGAGTGTACAAGTCCTTGAGACTGTTTTAATCTACACGTACATAATACAGTTTGTACGTTTGGAAGAACTGAATTGAATTAAATGATTTTGGAAAACAAATAGCATTCCTCCACGGTTTATTTAGAAAATAAGCTGTAAATGCACGTGTTATTTTTTTAGAGCCACGCTGTTTTTGTAAAAAAAAAATAACGGACTGGAATACGTAGCATTTAAAAAGGACCCTTATATGTGTGGCATTATCTTGACGATAAAATTAAAAAAAAAACATAGCCTTGTGTTAATTAAAATGAATATAATATAGAATATTTTGCTCTCTCAAATTTACTTAATTCTTAAAGTATTTCAATCAAAAGAGCAGTAACATCAACTATATCGACAAATATTAAGGGTTACCGACCGTAAAATACACGCTAACATACGGCCGAAGTCGCACGAAACAGCTAATAGAATAATATTATAAATGATAAAGCAATCTTCTCGGACGGGTATGTTTATCAACTGACCTCAAATAGCAAAAGGTCATGCATTGCTCTTTAATGTACCCTGTTCGTATAGGATAACTTGTAGACGGGCTATATTTTCACGAAAGTGTGTAGCTGCAAAGGTGTGGCTGGTAGCATCAGCCAGCATTTACGGCGAGACTATGCAATACTCGGCAATATTTTTAGTACGGCCGGGATATATTGCCAAATATTTTTTGTATGTCCGATGAATGTTTAGTGTCCCAGCCAGTATGGCCGGATCGATCGCTTTGCAATCGAAAATACTGCAATAATTCTCTGCTATAATATTGCTTTTCTCATTTTGGCGCCAATACATGGTACAATATTTTGCGATAATAAAATGGCTGGATTTATCAGCTGGATTATGATTTATGGACAGTTTTAGAGAGTACAGCTTGCTCTTAACGCCATGATGATTTGGAGACCCTAAAACAATCCGTACAATACGTATTGGCAGAGAAGAATTTTTCCATGGAAAGCGTGCGTGCTTTTATTGATAACTGACCTCAAAGTTTAAAGGACTGTATTGCAGCCAATTGAGACCACTTCGAATAAGCTATTTAATTTGATTAATCTAAAATTCTCGTGTCACAGTTTTCGTTGCCATACTCCTCCAAAACGGCTTGACCGATTCTCATGAAATTTTGTGTGCATATTGGGTATGTCTGAGAATCGGACAACATCTATTTTTCATCCCCCTAAATGTTAAGGGTAGTCCACCCCTAAATTATTTTTTTAAATTTTTAGATAAATTACTTATTTTTTATTTTTTTATGATACAGCATTAAAAAATACATACAACTCCTTATTTTCACCCCTCTACGATTAACCCCTATTTTTTATTATAAATGATATCCATGGCAAAATGACGTTTGCCGGATCAGCTAGTATTTATGTATAAAACGAACACAGTTTAAAAGTAATAAATGTTATTTGCAATAGAAGAATTTTTTTTTTTAATTTATGGGAAGACTAGGTATTCGCTTTCTTTTCTGCTAAGTATATCGTATCGTCTTATGTCGACATTTTTATGGATTAAAATAAAATATCGAGCTGTAATTTTTAATCATACAAGAATGACTTATTGCGTGTTGATGCTATGTGCCTAATAGATAAAAAACGTTAACAACACATGTCTCGTAAAATAATAACATTTATTTAGATTTTAGGGAGTTGCTTTACACATATAGGATAGATATGGATTAGTCAGAAGAAAGTCGATCCTTTGGGCTGTCTCCTTGCGCCCAACTCGATTTTGGATGACCCAGAGATGCTCCATTAATTGTTATGTGGATGATTTGCGATTTTAAAAGAGCATGCCTACAAATTCAAATTTAATGACGTGGAATAAGTGATACATGTATCTTATGTTCCATAATAAACATATTTTATTTTGATAGCACTGGGGTTACATTGTACACTGGCCGAGCATGTATTTCTCGATCAGAACCGGTTCTCCGGTCTCTGGTTGCAGCTCCTTACAAATATCTTGTAAAACAAAAACTTGCCGATTAAAAAGAGTGGCGGAGAGTTTATTACCAGATCTTCTCGTCCGTTCTACGCTCTTGATTTGAGAACAGGCAGTAAATGTAAAATTAGAAGCATTTAACATTTAATAATATGTATTCCTTTATTAAGGTTCATAAGTGATTTTATATATTAGATATACATGATATTGAATTTGAAACTGGTGTGTGAAGTCGAAACTCTGCTGCGTGGAGTCTTGAACTGGGTCGACTAAATCTAGTCTAATTGAACCCCAAAAATACACAATTTTGCGCGTTTTCTGCTAAAAAACACTCAACACGATACTTCACTCCGGGCCATCGCTTGCAACGGTATAAATCGCAAATTCGGCCCCACGTGGAGTGTTGTGTGGGAGCTCTCTAATACCAGCTCCTCCCACTTGACCGAGTTCAAAGAAACTGTTGTTCGGATTACCCGCAGCTGAGTTTAACCAACGGACCTTATTTTACTAATAGCACTTGCAAAATAAGTCGGAGAAAGAACAGTTAACCAAAAAGGTTTCCTTTAAACTATGACTTGACGATAACAGATTGAGAGACAAAAGTTGTGGAACTTGATAATGCCTACAAAAAACAGCGACAGCATGTCCAACTTTATATTATATAATAGGTTGGGGAAAAAGTTTCTTCGCATTTTGTAAGAAAATTTTAAAACATTTTTTAATATAGTTTATTTACATTTAACTAAAGTATCTAGGTACCATTTTGTTCGTTAACTTTTTGCCATCATTTAGGTAGGGACATGATCCCATTGCTATAGAAATTTAGGGGCTTCTGATCAAAATACCGCGACAATTGGTTTTGGCAGTCCTCTTATGATGATAACCTGACACTGCTTAAAGATTTCTGAAGAGACTGAAACAGGTGGATATCTGAAGGTGTAACGTCAGGACTATACGTCGGATGCATTAACACCTCCCAGCAAAGCTCTCTTATTTTTTACTGAGTGGCTAAAGATGTGTGAGGTCTAACGTTATCATGATGAAAAACCATACCCCTTTTGGTGATTAATTCCGGCCGCTTTCTCTCAACTTCTTGCTTTAATCTCATCAGTTGTTCGCAGTAGAGTTCAGAATCGATGGTCCTGCCTGGTGGTAACAGCTCACAATGAATAATACCCTTCCAATCCCACCACACACACAGCATCACCTTGTTGCGAGTTATCCCGGGATTCGCCGCGTCTGTGAAGCCTGACCGGCCTTTGACCACGACCTTTTTCGCACGTTCTTGTCGTACATGATCCGCTTTTCATCATCAGTTATCAGCTTCTTCTAAAATGGTTCGAATCCATTAAGTCGTAATAAAGAATCAAAAATGAGTACACGGTCCATTAGGTTTCTTACAGTAACTCGTGAGGTACCCAAATATTGAGCTTTTTTGTGTACACAGTTTTTTCAAATGCGCCAAAACTGTTTTGTGGTCAATTCCCCGTTCTTCAGTTACGTCGTATCTACTGATACGCCGATCTTGCTCCACTTTTTCAAAAATGGCATCCATTTTATCCGCCATAGGGCGACCAGAGCGACTTGGATCTTTGACATCAAAATTTCCGGATTGAAAACGGTTAAACCAAATTTGTGCTACTGTCACAGACACTGCGCTCGGGCTATATTAACATCGCAAATATTTTTCGCGGCTTGTGTTGCATTTTGACCTTTTTGTGGTAAAATTTTAAAATGTATCGAATTTCTTCATTTGATTCACTCATCTTGACGGTACAAAAATAAATAAAAAACAGACATTATCCTAATTTGATTTTGGAATTATCTTCTTTAAAATCTCAACTTTCCTTGATAACGACTTTTTCCCCAACCTAATAAAAACAAGTTCTCCACCGCAACTGTTTGTCTGGTCGCGATAAATTAAAATCTACTACACGGAATTATTCATGTAGTATCGAACATTATTCATTGGGTTTTGGTATATGATTTATGAAAGTTTACGGGGCATAATTGCGTACGAGGCCGGGGCGAGCCACCCTGCATTATAATTATCCGTATATAGATATATTTAATTATTCTGTATTTATTGGTTTTAAGTAAAATCATGAATGATTTAAAATGGTTTTTATTAATTTGTAAGGACTTACAACTTAGGGAGGTGCAAACTTAGCAATACGAAGTTAGTCCTTATTTTTCTTTCAAAATTATTGTTAAAAAATATCACTACATCAATCATCACATGTACAATTTCCATAAAAGTATAAGGAACAAAACATTTAAAGCTTTAGGCATGATTTTGATTTGCAAAATATTATTATATCTTCATCAAACAATTACAAAGTTCCGTTATTGACTGACTGCCTTTAACAAATGTATACAAACGACACACTTAATTCGATTGTACTTAAAATTCATAAAAACATCAAGGAACACAAATAACTACCAAGTAAAAAACACACCAAGGCTTAAGGACTAACGAAGCGGTTTTCACAGGCGCCCGCCGCGGAGGCGATTACCGCTCGCAAACTTGGCGGTTGATTATCGCAATACGGGCAGTTGCAAGATGGGCGGTTACAGGATCAGTTGAGTTACAGATCGCCATGGACACACACCAAAAACGAAATGTTGCGTTATTCTTACTTCACAGAATTAAAAAAAGAAGGCCTAAAGGGTGCCTCCACTGATTGCGGAAAGAGATCGTTATGGATTATTTGTTACTTTTATTAATGAGTTAAAGTTCTTTAATTATTTTCGAAGTTCCGTATCCGTAATGTGCGGGCGCCCACCAACCGACAGAGACTTCCCGCAGCCGTGGCAGGTTGCACCCTCGCGCTCTGCTGGACCCGCAACAATTGCACACGCCGCGGGCGAAAATCGAGTAGTTTTTTTTAAAGAAAGGAATCTCGCTGTTGGCCTTAAGGGCCTTCACAGCTCAGCTCGGGATGTTTGTCCCGCGGCTAGCGAAAGTTCGTCTCCTGTGAGACTCGGACC